AGGACAGTTTTGCAGTTCTAACAAAAAATAACAAAAAATAAATTCTCTCTTGTCCAGAAGCCATGAATTGGCCATGTGCTGCCAAAAAAACCTTTTCCTCTGTGCATTATATTCCTTAATAATCTCTCTCTCTTCACACTTAGTGATGCAGGAGTTGAGAACTCTGACAATGTAGACACACCATGACTCTGATTTGTTGCCCAAACTTTTGCTACCTTTGCAAAATATTTTTTCATGTATGACATTACAAGAGTACAGAGCTGTCAGACTAAGCTTTTTGGAAGTCTTCTATCCAAGCAGGGGTCTCCAGGATTTAACACTCCTCCTGTAACTAGCAATTACTCTTATTTTCAAGTAACAGCAGCAATCAATTATCTATGTGTGACTTCCAGGTTTTTTAGGAGGTATTTTCTTTGGCACTATACAAAAGTCTGGTTTATATAATAAATATATAATTCATATTGTAACAATTTAGTAGTTATATTCTGTTTTTCTTTTGAGCTAACTGAAATTAGTACTTTGATTTCTTCTTCTGATACAGCTAAAGAAGAGAGAGAGAGAGCTTCGTAGAGAGCTCTGCCAGCAGTATATTGAACATCCCAAGATTTTCCATCTCTTGGAAGAGCAAGGAAGTAATTAAAAGTGAAGAAAAGTAAATTGCTTAGTTGACCTCAAAACAAAAAGTGAGGTATCTTCAATAATTTTTTTTCCTCTTTTTTATGTCTTACTTTAGAGGCTTAATTCTTTCTTTCAGGAATACCACAAATAAAGATGATTTGCAATGAATTTAAAAAATGCAGCTGAGGTTTCAGTACTTATAGAACAGCAAAAATCCCTGCATGTGTGTATCCCTACCTCCCTGGTCTGCTTTTAACTTCCTGGTGTGATGTCCATAAGATGAAATCCACAACTATCTTAACACATGGGAAAACAACCCCTGAATCTGAATTGGCTGAAGAGGTCCAAGAAGGTAAAATTTTTAAAAATCAACAATATTTGGATTCAAATGGCAATATAAGTACTTTTACTCTATTGATTCTAAAAATGAAATAATCTATTTAATGATCTGGGAACATTTTCAAAGTTTTCTCTGGGCTTTCTTTTTACTGGAAATAAATTTACTAGACCAATGTAGGGAACTTCTTAAGTCACTAAGTTGTTTTTTTTTCTAAAATAGTAATCTTCCATTTCAAAGAAGTCATGCGAAAAACTACTTATTGGGTCCAATGGCATAATTTCATTAGCTATTTTTCTTTTTCTGCCCTCTTTGCCAGCCTGGGAGCAAGAACCACAGCCCAAGATAATGGCTCCTGGCTGTCACACTGTGATCACTGGGGCGAAGCAGGGTTTGGCAGCTACCGCTTAATTTCCACAAATCACCTGTTTTCACTAACTACAGCTCACGCCAGAGCAATCTGTCCTTTCACAGACTGGTTTGCAGGTTGAAGGCTGGAGACCCCACCACTGGGTTGTGTTTCTGAGTGCAAGATCCTCTGGTTTCTGTGTGCCTCTCAAAACTGGGTGATTGTCTGTGAAACTGGTGGCAGACACTCAGCTCCAGGGATGTGACTAGTACGTCTCAGAGCAGTTCAAAGCGAAAGTTAAAGCACGGCAGTGGGCAATTTGCAGGACTTGCCCCTGGGAACACCACATGCCAAAAAAAGCCCAGCTCCCAGTCCCACATCCACACATTTGCTGATATCTTTTACTACATGTAAAACAGCTCATGTTCATCGTTGTTCTTTCCAACCCCCACCGCTCATTTTGTTCTCCGGTCAAGGCAAAAAGCACGTTTGGGTGGGTCCCAGCGGCCCGAACGGGGCCCGGCACGCTGCCTCCAGGGAAGGCCCCGGGGCTGTGCCGGCCGCGCGCGGAACGCGGGCCTGCGCTGCCCCCGGGCGGCCTCGCCTGCCCCCCCTGCGGACTCACGGCCCTCGTGGCTCACGGCCACGGCTCCCTGCGCGGCATCCTCCCCGGCGCGGAGCAGGCGGCTCAGGCCCTTCATTGCTGCCCATTGGGCTCCTCTTCCTCCTCAGCCAAGGGAAAGGGCCCCAGGCCGGTGTGCCGAGGGAGGTGTCTTGCTCTGGCCCCGACAAACCGGTTCCCAGGCCGCCAGCACACGCAGCCGGGCCAAACACACCCTGCAGGCACACCTGCACAGCACCCCGCTGGTGCCAGGACACCACCGTGCAAAGGGGCAGACTTGTGGAGCAGCTTTAGGAGTTTGTTCTAAGAGAAACCAAGCACTAAATACACTGCATTTCTTGACAGTGGCTAGGCACTGAATGGGATCATCCTTTCCCCATCCAATCCCCTCACGTCTTCCCTAGTGGCTAGTCTTACCTACCAGGAGCAATCAGCACCCTCAAGCGCTCACGTCAGACAAAAGGCAGTCCTCTTGGGCCAGACAACTTTTGAAAAGCCATGCCATAAGCAAATGCGTACACACACAGAGGTATCACAGCTTGGATGGGATGCCTGGAGCCAGGTGGATTTATTACTAACTACTTGGTAGTAATGGAGCTCTCTATGCAGGTTGAAGACCATTTTCGGGGAGTTATTCTCATAATTGTAACCAGTGTTCAATGGACAGGAGAGGGTGACCATCCCTGCACTGCTGTGTGCTTCACTCAGCCTTAGGATGTGAGAGACTGAAGTGCTTCTGACATTAGTCTATAACTATGCACACATGGCAGCAGTATTCGTCCAACCACAAGACCCTTGAATTTCAGGTAAAAACTGTTTGCATTTGCTTTTGTCAAAGTCCATTAAAACCAAAACACACATGCCCAAAGGTTCAGGTTTTGTGACCTCACATACTGATATCCATCTAACCTACCTATTTCTCAACTTATCTTGACATCCATGATGACTTTGGTCTTTGGTATTTCCTTTCACATAGACAATGATTTTTCCAGAACAGGGCATATATATATTTTTTTAAAGGGAGTACCTTGAATTTTACTTTAAAAACAGCCTTTGATATTGCTATTCAAAATAAATATAGGAAAAGTAGTTCCAAGAAAGCAGAACAACCAGTATTCAGCCTCACACAACTGTAGACACATTGGAGTTCCTTCGCTGTAATTTTTTCTTAAATTAAATTACACAATCACATTAATTTCCGAGATGACTAACACTGTATCTGCCCATAATAAAATTAATCTAAGACTCAAGAGTTTGTAAATTTAACAAATTTAGATACAAAAATTATTTGCTCAGATTCTGTTTACCATATGATAAAGAGATTTCACAGTTCTTATCTCCTTTAAACATTTTTGGTATAGAGAGGCTGTGATGTAAAAAAAATCTTTACAATTGATACACTTCAGTCTAAGACAATTTCACCAACTGTAGTTCCAGCAGGTGAATGTAATTCAGCTGAAACAAAAAACAACCCTGGGAAAGTAAGCCCAGTGAGAAGAACAAACCATAACTGATTTAGCCATAACTGAATCATGGAGGTTTCCTCTGAGTCAAATGTTCCAGCAATTTCTTAAAAGTAAGAAAGGTAGGTCTGTATTATTTATACTAATACAGACTGTTTTCAATGTTAATGCTCAGTTTCAAAATGAGTGACAACAGACAACTACGGAGTGATTAGGTTAGCCTACAAAGGTGGCACCAAAGGAGGGACAGATTTGTAGTCTCATAGAGCATCAGTTACAGTAAAATCATAATTTTCAGTCATGACACAAGCTGCTAATTTCCAGTTCAAATTATTAATACATAATACTATTTCACAGCGTATCCTGTGCTTAAGCGTTATATGTAGCAAGTTTAGCACATTCTTTAACCACTTCCTACCACCTTGAGTCTTTCAGATGGCCCCCACAGACTGCAGGCAGCCTGACACAGAAACTTACAGAGCTGAAGAATCTGAAACAAAGTGCAGAGCAAGGAAGTACTGTAACATACTCCTTACTTGCCTTCACAGAGCTCTCATTCTTACAGGAAATTGAGCATTTCCTTTAATACTTAAGATAACAATTTCATACAGAAATGAGCAGAGCCAATATAAAAATAAAATGTAAGATGAGACCCAAGCTGGTTGAACGTATAGACTGTCTAAATTTCTTTCTTTAGAAATGGCAGAGGAAGTAACATTAAGATCACAGAATCACTACCCTTTTTCTCTGTTATTCAACTAAAAGAGGAATTCAAGATTAAGTACTTACATGTATACCTTAAATAAGGAGGTACTAACATTGCACAAGAAGTGGCATCTGCTGCTAACCTAGATCATTCACATGCTTCAGAACTATGGATATACTAAGTGTGGAATGGCTCACATACAGGAAATAATTTACACTTAATTAAGGACAGCTAAAAATAAAATGTCACATATTAATAAAAAGATATTTTAATTTAAGATCAATTGAATAACACAGAGTCACTGAGGAAAATGCAAAATAAAGACATTGCTTATACAGTCTTCTCCACAAGAAACATTTTATCACAGAAATTGTCAACAATGCTTAATCATGAACTAAAGGCCTTCTTCAGATGAAAGCAGTAATAAGCATGGTATAAAAACCTGTAAGAAGTAGGGGAAAAAAAAGACTTGTAAACCAGAAACACGCACAATTTTGTATTGGGTTTGCATAACCAAACTTTAGTAGCAGGGATGCTACAGGAGTGGCTTCTGTGAAAAGCTGCCAGAAGCTTCCTCCATATCCAGAAAAGGCAATTCTAGCCAGCTCAAGATGGGCCTGCTGCTGGCCAAGACTGAGCCAAGTGGTAAGGTCTCTCTGATAAGAGATTTGAAATGAAAAAAGATTATTGCAAAATTGTAATTGTGACCACAGAAGAACAGAGTGAGAATACGTGAGAGGAACAGCTCTGTACACACCAAGGTCAGTGGAGAAGCAGGAACATGGTGTGCTCCAGGCACTGGAGCTGGGATACCCCTGCAGCCCATGGAGGTGAGGGGGGTGCAGGGACCCACACTGGAGCAGGTGGGTGTCTGAGAGGGGGCTGTGACCTCATGGGAAAGTTTCTCACCCTGAACTAGAAAGGAGTTTCTTCCCAGGGCATTCCTACTTCAAGGCCCGACCCATGGCCTCCCACATCTCACCACGACGAGTCCTTCAGATCTGGTCAATCAACTCTTACTTTAGTAATTTTCAGTAACAATAAGAGCTTCATAGTGCTCTAAGTTCTTGTTCTTACCCTGTGTAACTGCGAGACTAACACATTTTTGTGTCCACTATGAAGACAGACATTAGCTGAAATCCAGCAACTCAACTCTGTTATCACACAGTTAATCTCACTATTGTATTTTTACAATAGGGAAGACAGAAGTTCAGGTGTGAGAAGATGGCCTTCAGCAAGTACAGTGCAGCACCCTAGCTAATAATTCATGTGTATTCTAGGGAGCTAAATCAAAGTGCTAGCAAATTCTGATTCTTAGAAACAATTGGGAAAAGAAGTATTATTCTTCAAAAAAAAGAAAAGAAAAAACCCTTCATTTTACCGCTTCTTCCATCTCAGACATCATGTTCTTATTACACAGATATGGAATGGTTCCAAAATGACAGGAACCTGAATCCAGCCTACTGCCAATGCTAAATTAACTTGCAGTCATAAAACTCTATGAAATGCTTCATATAGAACACATTGCTACACAGTCATTTAAAAAACATTTTGATTGTATGTTTGGAATTGCTTGACTTGGGTTTTTTTGATACTGACTGTGAAGCTGTTAGTCCAGACCTAGGGTTAAACAAAGGAGAGGAAAATAAAAAAAGTAAGAGGTTAAAATATACAATGCATACCAACACAGGTTTTACAACACTGAATATTTTTCTAGACTTCATTATTTTAAAACAAGTTGCATACTCAAACTTCCAAAAACTACTTACCTTTTTGTTCCTTGTGATGGATTTGTGCATGGCTGTCCTTTGCTTAAACCTCCTTAAAAGTAATTCAAAACAACCAAAATTAGTTACTTCAATAAAGAAAGAATGCTTCTGAAATTACATACATGGAAGGACTTTTTTAAAAATTTAATCTGTCTCAAGAAGCAGGTAACATTTTATTATCTGCAATTTGAATACTGTAGTTTATATTACCATTTTTAAAAGAGAAAACCAAAAAGCCTTTATGTTACTGAATTGTAAGGGATTACTTTGAACCTTGTAACAGTTTTCAGAAATATTTCAGCATAATGTTGATTTTCAAGGTGGTAGTTAAAAATCATGGTTTTAATTTTTTTATCCTGCAGGGGGCAAAAAAGAAACTTCACTTAAAGTAAGTCTTCCATTTAAATTAAATCATGCTTGCACATGTAACAGCAATATCACTTTAAAAATTTTCTTGTAAAATATTCTTATTTTAAGTTTTAATTGTATTTTGAAAATTCTAACACACTAGCATTTTAATTTCCTTTTATAAAGTTCCCAAAATAGATTAGGGACTACTTTAGGCAGATACTTTACTGCCTGCACATGCACTCTAATCTGGCTGAAGATGAACTCTTTGTCAAAAAGAGAAACTATTTCACAAAACATGAATGATACTGCTGTGGCATGTTACAGATGGAGTTACGTGATATGTTTTATAAGCTATAAAACAGAATTGCAAGTTTCTTCCTTTAAGCTCTAGTTCTCATCTCTCTATTTTTGCAGCACATGACATAATGGAGCCTCTCTGTTAACTGAATCTGAAACAATACAAGTTGATGTTTTCACTTCAATCTCAGTGACCTCACAAACACCTTTCTGAATATGGTTGGGTGTAACCAGTGTACAATTTCCATAAATGAGCAGTAATTCCTGTGTCACTTTTGTGGCAAATGGGAGGGCACTGACAAATTAACATCACATTCATAAATCTAGTTTGTGATGAAAATCAACTGATATTTTTTAAATAAAAATGTTCACTCCTATATAGACCTTAAATAAACTTGTTGAAAAAAAATTTCCAAGTCCCAAAAAGTTCAAAGTACACCACTGCCAAAGTATCTTAATTGCAAAAGCAAGACAATTTGAATAATTAAATATATACTAATGCACATGCTTACCAGAGAAAACTCTGTTTGAGTTTTTCATATTATATGTCTTAGTAGGAAAATCCTCTTTTTCTGTCAGCTCCTGGATAAGGCCTTTATTTAAGCAGACATCAACATGTCTATTAAATGACATAAGATTAGTGGTTTTCTGTTCCAAATTACAAACTGGACAAACAAGAACACCGTCTTCTTTGGCTTCAAAGAAACAGGATGAACTACTTCCTTCTGTATCTTCAGTCTTGTCAAAATGGTCTTCACTGTCTTGTGATATTAGTTTGGGGAAGAGACACTGTTTCATACACACATTTCTAGCAATGTCACTGAGATTGCTAGGCTGTTGTTCTCTGGGAGATTTATCAGGTATTATCTGACCAAATTTTTCTGTGCTATTGTCAGTAGAGCTGTCAGATACACTTGCAGACTGGTCTGTTCCTGATAATTGATCTGTTTCATTTTTTTGACATTTATCAACCCACTCATTTTTAAATTGTGGAAGAAAGTTAGATGTATTTTTTCTTGAACTGTCGTTCTTGGATATTTCCATAGTATCTTTAACACACATCCCACTGAGGCACTCATCAATGTGTCTATTAAGTTCTTCCAAATTATTGCTGCTTTGCTTCTCAAAGCACACAGGACATGTGAAGATCTTACAAACATTAGAATTCGGTAAATCTGTGACTTTCTTTGTTTCTTCCACAAAATTTGCTGATGATTTATCATCATTACTGTTTAGCTGTCTTGCTGCTCGCTTTTGATCGAAAAAACTCCTTCTATGAGGTGCTTCTGCATTTTTTGTGAAATACTCTTGGTTGGACTTCTCTGGCTGAAGCCTAAAGAAACCAATTTCTTTTCCTGATTTTAAGAAACTAGTAATGCTTTTTTGTTGGTATTTCTTTTCTTCTTCTGTTAGAAATCCTGATACTCGTACACCTAATGATGAAAAAGAAACTTATAATAACAATTCTATGAAAGCTTGATAACAACTCCTAATTAACACCTTTTGAGGTATACATTCACTCAATAAAGGCAAAATTTATCTTTAAAAAGATGCTAACCTACCTCCAAACACATCACAATGTCAATACCATTTTATCAGACCCAAGCACTAGTCCAACCATATTATTAATTTTAGTACTAAGTTAGTAAGTTTTAACTAAGTTAACTAAGTTTAGTAAGTTTTAACTCATTGCTTTATAACACAAAGTTATAAATACAGTTACACAGAATTCAGTCTGAAGGTTTTGCATGAACTTCACCCATCAAAACATATTTTTCTTCAGTACTTTCTAATATCTTAGACAAGTAAATTTTATATACCACTCAATGTTTTAAGTAGAAAGCATAAGGACCTGAAACACATGTCTTAGGGTCACAACACAGAGTTTACTATTAGAAATGTTCACATCTCCTGCAGAACACTGCATTTTCATATCTGTAAGCACTTCTGTTGTTGTGGCGCAAAGTAGATTTAAAAGTTCTTCTAAAGAAGCAGAATTAAGCGCTGCTATGATGAAGTTTCTACGGTCATGATGACGTGGCTGTTGTTGCATAAAACAAGTATGACCTCAATTAGTAAAACTTCCTAAGTTACTCACTCAGCACAGATCTGTTTCACTTTGAAAAAATTACCAGGGCAATAGAAAAATGGTAAATGCGTTAATACCAGTTTTACTTTAAAGTATGGTGTGTTATTTCAGAACACTATCAGATTTTCTGACTCTGAAAAGGAAGAATGAATTTGAAATATCTTACCCATAAGTCTTATCCGTAGAGGGTGAGGAGCAACACTACCAATTTCTGTTGCTAACAAATCTTTAGCAACAGTAAATATTTCCTCCTCAGTAGAAACAGAAGACAGCACAGTTGAAGCTCTTGTTTTAACTTCGAAGTTCACATTCTTAAGCTTCAATGTAACTGTTTTACCCTAGGAAAAAATACAATTATAAAGAAGGTTTAAAAGATATGTCACGTATGACACAAAAACAATTATTATGTAGAATCTATATAAGGGCTCTTAAGCCATAGTTAAGTCTGCTTATATTCACTGTGTGCTTATCTGTGCACATCAAGGGGCACTCCCAAGAATTTGTCTGCATGATTCTGTACTTGCCCCTAAATTCTGTACTTGCCCCTAAATTTCTGCCAAAGTTAAACTGGGTCATTTGACTGCAATTCTCAGCAGACCTTCTGCCACTAGTGCATGTTCAATTGAGTTCATGTTTTGGCTACAGATGCAACTTCTATCCCATCTAAAAAAAATTATTTCCTCATATGGAAATTTTCAGTGCTGGATATCCTAACTATGAAGAACAAAAAAGTGATACCCCATTACAGATTCATAGAAAAATTACTTCCTCCTGCACAGTGCTATCACAACCACACACAGTATTTGTGTTTGGTGCAGATATTTCCCTGGCAGCACCTCCCAAACAATTTGTGTGATTTATAATATCCATCCAAATGTAAATAACTAGCACTCTCTTTGGTGCTTTTGTAAGCTTCTCTCCTTTGTCCTCCTTAGCTGATCATCTCCCTTTCAAACTGTCATCTTTTGAGACAATCTTTTATGGCTGAACATTAACAACAATTATTTTAGGCTGTAAATGTAATCCCTTGCTTTACCGTAAGACCTTCAAAGAAAATATTTACTCTTTCCAAGTAAAAAACAGGTATCTCGGGAGAAGGAATAAAGGGACTGTTTGTACTATTGATACCATTGAATGGTGTGAGTAACTGGTTAGCAAATTCGGCACATGTCAAGATCTTAAAACTAAGAAACTGGCTATTGACTGGGTCCTGTATGTATACAGGAGAGAAACAGTGTTTTAAATACATTAGTATTACACAATTGACCAAAACATGTCTTATGGATGATGAGCTCTATTATTGCCTTGCAAACATTATGCTTTTAGCATAAAATGTTTACATGCCAAACAACTTGATTAATTTTTCATATTTCAAAACTCGATTTAATTTTTATCCTACACATATTGCTAGATAGCCACTTGCACAACAACAAAATGCTGCCTAAGTCATCCTAAACGTCTGCAAATTAAAGAATGCAGGCTTCTGAAGAAAGATTGCATGGTACAATGCTTACTGAAAGCACTTATACTAAAACTGCATAGAATTATTGGAGTGCAAAGCATCTTTTTGCACGTAACCTAAATAATATAAATACCTTAAGTCCCTCTTTCTGTAAGTCTTGAGCAAGGTCTCTGCAGAGCTCTCGACACAAACTGTACTGGTCTTCTGCTGTGTTTATTTCACTGAATGTTCTAAGACAAAAATATCATCTTTTTCAGTATGAATCCTATAGTATGTTCAGTGTCTGCAATCTAGAAGTATTTTTATACAGTTAAACAATACTATAATCAGAAGAATGTTATATAGGTTAAAAGTCTTATACACAATAATAAGACACAATAATTATTAATAGGGATATTTTTTTCGCAAAATGTTTCAAAGACCCTTCAAATAATGAAATAATTTGGTTTCAATTTTTCATGCACTATTTGAAAATTATTCAAATTTAATGTCATTAATGCTTAAGCATTTGCAAGGCAGAAGACTAACAGTAAGTGAATTCATAGAGCCAGCCAAGTTATTGGTATTTAATCTCATTTGTATACACTGTATAACATCAGAAGAAAGCCAGGAGATGGAGGTCAACATCAGAGCCAAGTATCAGAAATAGATAATGCAGATGCTAAGAATAAGATGCCAACTAGGATAATTATGTCTAGCCTCAGAGGAGGAAAAGCTGTCTTTCTGCCAAAAAATGTTGCCAACTGCCTTTGCTAGAGCTTCTTAGGACAGAAATTAGTGTTATCTTTTTGTTGTACATTTGCTTTTCAGTAATAACATCACAGGAAAAGCAACCTTCAGTTGTTTCAAGAGAAATAGAAAGCAAAACTTACAGACAGCACAGACTTTGGAAAGGTCTCACATTGTCAGGCTTTATATTTACAAATATAAGGTCAATAAAATTACAGTGGATTTTGTATCACTAAGTTATAGTCAGTTTTACCTGACTGAACCAAAAAGACATCCTCTATTATGATTCACATTCCCCTAAGAATGTTTGCATGCTGTCAAACTAATCGGCTGAGTATTTCACTGGGGGTCCCATACTGCTATCCAAGGAGTAACTCATGCTATTCAGACAATACTGCAGCGACTGAGAAGTTGTGAAAGTCCAAGGCTTGAAAGGGATAGGATAGAGAGAATGCTATTTCAGAGGTGTCTTTTCCCCCATATAAAGTAGTTTCATGATCTCAGAAGCCTGTAGACATTTCTGGTCTAAAACCGTTCCCTTGGAGGAAAAAAATAAAGGAAAAAAAGCAGTACAGAAAGATACTATAAAGATGTCCAAAATATCTGTCTGATTGCAAGGCAGCACAACACCAAAGCCATAAATTTTTCACCTGTGATGGTACCAAAATCGCATTACGCTTTTTTAAGCTGCTCACAGCTATCAAGTCACAAAATGACAGGACTAAGCATCTTTTCTTACCACCTTTTCTAAGAAGACACATGATGATGGAGATAATTATTAGAGTGCTTTACAGATTCTCCTGGCAGAACTAATTTTTAAAAAATTAACTACCTTCTTAAGAGACTTTACTCTGGTAAAAACTTTAGTTAGGAAATACAAATGACTGCAGACTACTACACTGATATTGACATTAAGCTTAAACAGATAAAAAAATTTCAGGTCCTTATATATCTCCACCTTATCTTATGGTTTAAAGATCACTTTGATGCATTAAAGGCTCTAGCAGAATTGGATGATAAGAGAATACTCAAACAAAAATACCTCCATGGAGTTCTGGAGCCAAGGACAAAAAATAATCAAAGCTTGAATCTGATTTAGTGAGCCTGTTGTATATGTGCATTTTTAAATAAATACACAGTAAAATTATACGACTAATAAAAGTATACATTACTTGGTATTTAGTGCTTCCAATGGTTAATGTAGTTTTTTCAATATTAAAGAAGCATACCTTTCAGTGCTCATACTTTTTCTTTCTCCATCCCTTTAAAGAGAAAAAAGTTGATTATACTTACTTGACGTAGAAATGTTACCTTTTCAATAAACTCAGAGTCAACCAATCATGCTCAAATAACTAACAGTAGTCTTTTCTACGAAGTTGGGATGTTAATTTTTTCTACAAATCTTTTACATGAATTTTAAGCAAGTGCAAAAACGGTAATTCAAAAAATACTGTAGATTAAGTAAAGACATAGATCAGACACAGATGTCTTATTGAAAAAAAAAGTTTAAAAAACCAAACAAATAAAAAATTCCCTCAGAAATCACCTATTATGTCAGAGAAAGACTGATTCAAAAAGAAAACAAACTACAAATCCTATGCCTATAGTCTTAGCTATAACTGTGAAGCATGGCTATTAGAATCCCATACATACATGTATGTTTGAATATTTCTTTTATCTGAGGATTTGAGGAAATATTTTGCTTTCAGGCTAAAAGATTGTTCAGCTTAAAGTTGATGTGTTAAAGCTTTTTTTGTTTGTTGCTTTCTTTCTTCTCAGTGTTAATTGAGTATCCTTTAACAACTCTTCTGCGTATAAGGAGATACATCAGAGCAATTTCAGGTCATTCTTCTGTTTTCAATTATTGGAAATAAGAAATTTGGTATTGTCAGATTTTCTTAAAAGAAGGTAGTCAGACACAATAAGATTAACTATTTACTGAAGACCCAGGTTTTAATATATTAAGTGTTTGCTTTCTCTACACAAAAATCACTGAAATCAGGTTGGTGCTGACCAAAAAAAAAAAAATTTCCTTTTTTCTTCCAAAATGTACTGGGATATATCCCAGGCTGTAAAACACCTAACCACCTAACTAGGGTGAATAAGAAGAAAGAGTGCACCAACTGTTAAAAGACTATCCAAGGTCTGTTTATATATCAACTGAAAAAAATATTTTGAAAATTGTGTTTTATCTTTTATCAAGTCACCTTCACCAAGTCAGTCTTACCACATATTTTAAAAAAATATTTTTATACTCTGAATAGAAAAAATACCCCACAAAAATTTGTGCTAGCACATTACTGGGCTTCAAACTGCTAACTACCTATATTATTTTGTAGTCAAATGAAAAAAGGGAAGATTATTGTCAGAGAAATTACAGATATAATACAGAATAGGTCTTTCAGAAGCGCATAAGACACTTTGGAACTTCTAATAAAATCAAATCATTGTCAAGCTGCTTTAAAATAGAATTTCAGTGCTGTGGAAAGGAATATATTTTAAAAAGGAGTCAATTCTTAATTAAGGCTCTTAGTTAAACAAACAGTAAAATGCTATGTTTTGGGTTTTTTTAAAGAACATGTTTGTCTCCAGGACAGGCTTAGAAATGACAAATATTGTTGAAAAGATATATACACTGCTAAGACTGACTTCTCCCATCCTAAAAAGGAGGCTAAAAGCCATTAAAGTACAGCCAAACTTAAAGGAACATGTATTAAAAAGGATATAATCATCTTCAGTTCTATTCCACCAAATTCACATGTTGATATTACAAATACGTAATCCTGATAAGAGACACAGAAACTTCCCGACAATTCACCACCAGAGAAGATCAAATACCTTTGTGATTTTCATTATAATCCCAGAATCATAAACACCAATGAATGTGCATTGTTTTTGAAGAAAAGGGCGTGCACAACTCTTCTTAGGACATCTCAGTTATGTTTAGCTATTTTGATAATTATAAGGTTATCCTAGATCTCTTGACATGCACTTATGTACAGCTTCCCTGATGAGATTTTTTGGATTTCATATTTAGACATGGCTGTACAAACCTTTGTTTTTTCATGTTTGGATACTGCATCTTAGACATAACAGTAACAGGCATCAGACATTTAAAAAAATATATTAAACAAGCGTATTTCCATAATATTTGCTAATTAAATAATATGTTCAGTATGTAACATACACAAGGAAACATTCAGAAAAATGTTAACACAGAAGGAAGAAACCTCCATGACTTACTTTTCCAAATGTGTTGAGCCCAAGCCAAGGGAAATATCCAAGAAATGACGCCAAGAGACTTCTGAAAAAAGAAGAGAAAGCAGCGCCCTCTGCTGGTAAAGTTCTGAGCAAGTTACAATTCCAAGGGCTTTTAACATCTTCTCTGTTACTTTTCCAATACCTGGCACCTAGAAGAGTATGTAACATTATAATGAAAAATTTTAATTTGTAGATCCATTACTAAGAAAATCCGAATCAAACACAACATGGAAGATTACCTAGAAAATTCTACCTCTTCAATAAAAATCTTGCTTTAGAACATAAAAACATAATGACAGAACAGTAAATGTCCTCGTGTCTCTTACCTTTCTAATGGGCAAATCTTTTAAGAAGTCTAGCACTGCTAGTCTCTCAGGAGAAATTCTGTATTGGCCGTTAGGCTTATTACGATCACTGCACATTTTTGCTAACATTGTATTTGGTGCTATTCCTTAAAAACAAACAAAAACACGGTAATTTAAAAAAACGTAAGACAAAGTTTAATTTCAACTACCCAATATTTATAAGCCACGGAGTAGTCTTTATACTTGGCAAAAACTAAATTAAGGAAAAGAATTATGATTACTGATAACCACATTTGATACAATTCTGCAAAGAAATTTTGTGACTATCCTGAAAGAACACAAACACATGTAACACATAAAATATAACTTAAATAAAGTGTATTTTAAGACAGTCAGGGTAACATAATAAGCACTAACTCGAGAGGGCTTAAATAGTAAGTCCTTAAAAATGACATCAGTTACATGAGTCAATAATTTTATGATGGTGATTGTGGCAAGAAAGAAAATATGTACTATGGTAGTTACAATGAACTCTTAAGTAAGTAGACCTTTCTTCCCTGTATTTCAGCAAAAAGCCTTTTTTTGAGAGACTTTTATAAATTCTATTATTTTGTGGGCTACCATTGGAATGTAGTAATTATAAATTTATATATATTTCACAGACAACAGAGGAATTAGGAGGGATAGCTCTTTCCTATCAAAGTAACTGTTTTTACAAATTAACTCTGAAATTTGTTTAGCAAAAGAAATAATAATTTTGTCCTACAGCCCTAGAAGTCTGCTCACTGATATAACATATTATTCAAGATGGCAGAAATAACTCTACTTATTATTGATTATCAGTATTTTTTCAGTTACCCTTTTAATTATTTTTAATTTTGGAGCTTAAAACCCATTTGCACTTGTAAAAGCTATGCCTGTTTTCTACACACTGACTTATCCTTAAGAAGACAAAACTTTAGTAAGCAAAACCATTATTCTGCTATTATTCATGAGATAACATACATGGGAGGGGGTTTCATCCTGCTGCTTCTTACTAGCTGTTTCTCCACCTCTGCTTACATTCCACATTTTCCTGACTCTCTGCAGCTGCTTCATAAAGCTCACCGTTTCCTGATGCCTCACTGACCTGTTCATAAAGCAGTTTGGATGGCATCCAAACAAAGTGGCTAGAGACACACATTGGTTTTAGTCAATCGAAATAGCTGAGGTTTAAAAGTGGGTTTCTGAAGTCAAGACATAGAACTTGATTGATAAATATTAAAAAGCTATTAAAGAGTTCATTAACTTCAGCATATATTTACTTCTCCAGGACTAACATTTTAATGAATTTTGATATTGTTTTAAGCAAGAACAGTGTGAAATTAGAAACACATAATAGCACACATCTGCTATTCAAACTAAAAGCAGTATACAAATCAGTGATAGATTTCATTATGACACACCGTCTAACAAAAGCAATTTACACAATGCACTAGACTAACCAGCTGTGCTAAGATTAGTTCAAGTGCACTGCTCATTCTTCCTCACTGCTTACTCTTATTTCAAGTAGAAAGAAGCAAAATGACATAACTGTTTTAATTTAAAAAAGAGTAAAAAAGAAAATAAACAGTAGTGGCTTGGATATTCATGACATCTCTTGAAATAACTGGAAGTCCCATTCTTTGCAGACTTCAAAGACAGCATATTTTTGTTGCACAAGTAGACTGTGGCAAGGGTAAATTCTTAATTAATGCCCTCTGAGATGAAAGTAGAAGACATTATGGAAATACAAAGATTAATTTTCCCGTGTGTCTGAATACCTGCACTAGCAGTCAGTTGAGTTTTCTGCTCAATCCTAAAGCGAATTTCCTTCACAACTTCCTCTGCAGAAGTTCCAAAGACAACTGAGTTTTCCACTGATAGACCTCTTTGTTCATGTTCGCCATCCATCAGAGATGAGTTGTCTTCAAACAGTACTGGTGAAGAAGAGACTTCACCTTCATTAAATTTGGCAGACACATTCATACAATCTTTATCTAAGTTAGACAGAAACACGAACAATTAATACGTCCATACAGACTGATTTCCTTCTTCAGTGGCTTCAGTGTTCATAAGCAGTTTTATTTCTTTCTATCTTTATTTAGAGAAAGCAGTTGCATTGTTTGTTGTTTAAAGACTGGAGAGATGTAACTGCTTCATTTTTGCTATGATTTGAGCTTGGCTGACATTGAAGGAATTGGCTAGTAAACTGGACATAACTTCCAGAAAAGCAAAAGGTTTAATGGCCTGTTACTGTAGCAAAACCAGTGAGATTTTATCATTGCTGTTTTATATCAGATTGGAGGTCAGATGCTCTCTTGCACAGAATTTTTTTCAATATTCTCCAAATAAAATTAGGGGTCTGGAATATCTAGTTCTAGAATGATCAGCCTGATGACCTTCTCATTTTCAACTGCAGGCATAACAGAACAAGTAATGTCAGCAGCCCTTTATTTGACTGTACTAACATTACTATTACAGTTTCACACTCTGAGCACTTGTGTTTGAGAGGAACAAAGGTATCATGCAAGTGTGAAGAAGCACATGACCACATATCAGTGACACTGATTTTGTAAAGACTATGCCAGTTTGCTGCTTTCTATTTTATTAATGCTTTTCTGTAGTAGTGTACACTTGATTATCCTCTTAATGACTGTTAGAAATTTTGAATACAGGTAGTATAAATATTCCAGTTTGTGCATCATTCAACCATTTGTATGACTACGTATCTTCTATTATTCTCAAGTGGAAATACAAGTGAAATCCAGTAATATCTTGAACATTTCTAAAATCCTGCAGTGCTCCTGCTACTTATTTCCAAGATTATCAAGCTGAATTGTAATGCAGACCTAAGCCACACCATTTGGTTTAGAAAATCTAGCACCACTTTTCAAACATTTTATTCACATTAAAAGAAAATAAATTCTCCAAGTCCAAGTCATTAGCAATGTACATTTTATTCAGAGGTGAGCAGTACAGAAAGTTAATCTGTAAACTAAATTGGATGCAGAGAATATATGAGAGGACAAATTATGGAACGACTGAAGTATCTACACTTTTAGTGGGTGCAGCTTATCTGAAGCTTATAAGCACATGACTGGCAACCCCTGCTCCCAACCCCATGTAATGTGGTCAGCATGTCTTATGCCATTTCATAAGGCAAGCAGCATTCTCTGCTGCCGTGCTCACTCCGCTCCTTGTCCTCCTGCATATCCCAACACCCGGCCAGCCCAGTGCTGTGGGTGACCCTGTTGCAGCACTGGGAAGCTGCAGCTCCCAGAGCAGTGTCTGCCTGCACCCTCCACAGCACTGCCTGCAGCCCCACAGCACTGCCTGCAGCCCCACAGCACTGCCTGCAGCCCCACAGCACTGCCTGCAGCCTCCACAGCACTGCCTGCAGCCTCCACAGCACTGCCTGCACCCTCCACAGCACTGCCTGCAGCCCCACAGCACTGCCTGCAGCTCCACAGCACTGCCTGCAGCCCCACAGCACTGCCTGCACCCTCCACAGCACTGCCTGCCTGTAGCCCCAGAGCAGTGCCTGCACCCCCAGAGCTGTCTCTCTGTCACCTTTGACAGGTTCTGAGGAGGACCTGTCAAATGTGACAGAGACCTGGGACCAGAGCTGGACAGTGAGACCTGGGACATCCCAATGGCCAGGGACACCTCTGCCTTCATCTGATTCCTTTGAGGATTGAGGGAGTTACTTATGTTCTTTTATATTGAGTCTAGATTATGATTGTTATATTGATACAGCAAACTGTGTGCTATTCACCCAGTACAGGTCATATTGTATTATAAATTTTTTATTTTGCTACTTATAGATTGCACTGCACTGATTCTGCTTGTAGAAATCCTTTGCCATTTGAATGACAAATTCTGTACTATTGTAATAAAGTAACCCTACTAAGGAAAATAAAGCTTAAATTCTAACTATGATTTAATGCTTTCATGGTTCTGCCTAAGATCTCTGAAAGAAACACTCTGTCTCAGTGTCAGGTGACCTCATGAAAAGTGAGTAATTTGCTTACCTATTCCTGTAGTGCTTTCTGTATTAAAAAAGAACCTTCTTCTATCTTCAGGCCAGTTCAGCCTTTCCTCCAAGTGTTCTGTTATGTTCAGGTAGGCTTCATCTAGGCCCATAGGCATAAAATTGGGATCATATTCAGCCAGTATTTCTCTAACCTCAATAAACACATAGTAAAAGTTTAAAGCCATGTTGCTGTAAGAGCAGATCTTGACACAAAATCAGGAGATGAACAAATGTACTCTGAAAGTTCCAGATGATCAATAAATAATAACGATACTAACAATACAAATTACTTCTTGATATTGTAAAATTACAGCAATGCTTCTCCAAGTAGTGAGGCATTAATAGTTAAGTGAGAGCTAAACAGATTTTGAGCAGTGTATTTAACAGCAAAGGTTAGTAAGATAAGTGTATAAGGACTGCACAGCCACTGGGTTCACTGACACTACAATAACCATCTGAATAAAACTCTGTTGACCTGAAAACTCAGCAAAGGAGATAAACTGATGTCATTTTCTGTGCTCAGTGTGTCAGATATCACATATACAAAGGTTAAAGAAACCCACTAGCAACAACAAAATCCTAAGTTTTAGTTACATTAAACTGAAGTTACAGAAAATATTTCAGAGCAGTGGTTAATGCCACAGGCAAAACCCACTGGGAAAACCTTAGTTGTAAGTCCATTTTTCTAGAAGGAAACATAATAAAATAAAAGGTCAAAATGAAAGCTCTACCTTCTCTCCTCTATCTTTTTTAAGAGGAAAATCTGACTATGTTATGGTTTTTTCTATGTTTTTTCCTATCAGTTTGAGTCAAGTTCTTAGGTATTACAACATTTGTCCACATGCACTTCATCTTTCTGAAACTCAATGAAGATAGGATTCACTATAAACTTTAAAAGACAAACTGAAATAAATTTAACTACTTTCAATCCAAATCCCAAGAGAAAAACATAACTGAAAATCCAGACCAAGCCAGATCTCTAATTGTTAATACTTTACCCTATCAAACAACAAATGAAATATGCACTGTGAAATACATATAATGAAATCCAAGATCCTTAAGTTCAAACCCATTCGGAAATATGGCATATTTATATATGCCTTTTTTCTTTTTTTTTTCCAGATGTGAAAAAAATCAACTAATATCTTACTTTATATTTGTACATTTGTTGCTTCATAAAAATAATGAAGGCCTGACACAATTTTTTTAAAGTCAGGAGACTTGCGTCATGCACTAGTTTGATTTAAAATGTACAAAAGACCTCTTATCCTTTTTTTTTTAAACAGGATTTTATCTATCATAACTTTGCTCTGGCACTAAGTAAAACTACTTCCATTAAAGCAAAACATTATTTCTTTTCTCCATATTTCTTTTGCTCTATGAAGTCCCTTATTTTTCAAAAAAATCAATTTGCATTTATAAGTCACTAATGCTTTGTTTTTCTCTCCAGTAATTAGTATTCAAAAGTATGATTACGCATTGCACGAAATTATCATCTCCATGTCTCCTATGTACTTGCAACTTCCTAGTAACTAGATTATGTTCCATGATTTTAACTTTTAAGAATAATAAAGCTCAAGAGATTTTTCAAAACTTCTATCAACAACACTACTAACTTCAGTAGAATTGACAGACTGGGTAAACGCAATGCTTTTTCATCTCCTTGTCCAAGAGCACCAATATTTTGTTAGGCTTATGTTTAAAGTTACATTACTGAAGAATTTAATATTTAAATTATCACTTTTTATACTATTTAGAACTGATGTTATTGACACAGTCTAAAAACAATGCACTCACTTTTGGTTAGAGACCACTTTCAGACTTACCTCTCTACTCACTTTGCCGTATTTTTCAAAGTTTAGTGGTACTATAGTTAGATGTGGACATAACCTTTTAGCAATAAATCCTGGCATGGCTGCACGCACCCCGAATCTTCTAGCATGGTAATTTGAGGTGGACTTAAGAGAGATTAAGTAAGTTTAGTGTTCAGTAATCAAACTTTAAGTTTAGAATTAAATAATAAAAGTTCTAATCACGTATCTCCGTACAGAAAAGACTGACAAAGCCAAGAGTTTATACACATTTTCACTCCCCCTCCTCCTGCCTTTTCATTTAAAGCATGCTTACATACTTTAAATTTTAATTAGTACACTTTTTACTGAAAAACCCAGCCTACATGGTCAAGTCTAACAATTGCTGTTTCCTTTATTATTTTTGGGTTTTCCACACTTCATATAAAACAGTGTCATTATATTGCTGCTATTGTTTTATTGTTTATTAGGCTTAAGGTTCATGCAATTGATTTTTGTATTAGTTTAACAGTCAGCCTTACCAACATACTCATTGATCCCACTGCTATAGGTTTTTCCTTCAGCTCTGGATTGTCTCTCATTTCCACAGCTGCATAGAAGGCATCCATGTCAATGTGTACAATTGTACTGCTAAGGTTACGGTTCTGTTCCAGTTCTATCACAAGTTTGTCCACCTGAACAGAATAAACCAGTAATTTAAATACTACTAACCTGGCAGAAGTGCAACAGTATAGATGATCCTAAAACTCAGATGAATCTTGTATATAGTTAGAGAAAAAAAACCTCAACAAATCCAATCCCCACCACACCAGTACCAACTAAAAACCTCAACAAAGCTTTGGAAGAAACTTGTTCTCAGAGAGAATGCTGCTGCAGCAATTGCTGAAAAAAACCACCCCAAAACCCAATGGAAAAAACCACAGCTGTTGTGGCTTAGCCTAAGCTGGCAACTAAGCTCCTGCAGCCACTCAATCCCTCATGGTGGAAGAGTCTGACGAATAAAAATGAAAAAACCCATGGGTTGAAATAAAGAGAATTTATCACAGAAAGCAAAAACTGTGCATGCAAGCAAATCAAAAAGAATTCATTCACTGCTTCCCATGGGCAGGCAGGTGTTCAGCTATTTCCAGGAAAAAGAGCTTAATCATATGTAGGAGTCACTTGGGCAGATAAATGCCAAAGCAGCAAAAGTCCGTCCTTCATTTATCTACACCCCACTTTGTAGGCTGAGCCTGATGCTATGTGGTCTGGGATATTCCTGTGGTCAGTTGGGGTCAGCTGTCCTAGCTGTGTCCCCTCACAGCCCTTGTGTGCCCTCAGCCTCCTCATTGGTGGGGTGGTGAGAGGAGCAGAAAAGGCCTTGGCTCTGTGCAAGTGTTGCTCGGCAACAGCTAAGCATCTCTTCATTATCAACACTGCTTTCAGCAGAAAACCAAAACACTGCCCCATGCCAGCTCCTGTGAAGAAAATTAACCCTATCCCAGCCAAAACCAGCAGATAACCCTACCCACCAAACAACGAAACTCCACATAACATGACAAAAAAAAATGTATTTGATTCAAACAAACTTTGTAAAGACCCTTGAGTACGATGCTTTACTTAAAGCACTTAGTTTTAGAAATGCAAGTTGTTAAAAAACCATGAAAACATGCTATTAAAGAATTCCTAACATTCCTAAATAAAGCTATCACACTTCAAAAAATTGGCGCAGAATGGTGAAGAGAAGATCAGCAGCTCACAGGACATATCCATCTATTTTGTCTCACCAGAAATAACATCTCAAACATCCATGTTCAATTACTACAAAGTAAGCTACTGTCAATCCCCCAATAAAAGTCCCCAATTTTTGTCACAGGAACCCATACCAAATAAGGCTAGATTGCTAAGAAGAGTACAAGTTATTTACAGAATAGCCTATACACGAAGTGTGTTTCACTCCAAATGTTAAAGATGTATGTCTATGTGAGCAGTACTGTTTCATCAGCACTATGGTGTTTTGAGACAGATTGCTTTACAAAGTACTCTGATTGTGCTTGAAATGCTTGTTTTTTTACTAAAAGTCATGCATATCATGTGCTTGTTCCTGAAATACTGTTGACCTATGAATGAAGTATGAGCTGTGCTGTCATGAAAAATTGTGAAATATTTGACATGGGATTTTTATGGTAACTATGTTGGCAGCAGCATCACACATCATTCTAGAAGAGAAAATACAGGAAAAAAACCCAAAAGAACGTGCTATGAAAATAAGATTACCTAATCATACTCATGACTAGGCAACATCAATCTACACACAAAAGGCTGCTACTGCTAGTAAGAAGTCCCAATAGGCTACACAACAAGAGAACACAGCAAGAAACAGAGTTAGCAAAAATGAACTAAAGTTTCACTTTGCTTGCAGGCACAAGGACACACACACTCTCGTGACATCACGGAACCAGTACAGAAATGTCTCTGGACTGACTATAATGCATTTATAGTTCTGGAGAGGAATATTTACATGCAATTTGCATGGTTCTTCTCTTTTTTACCTCCCTCAACAGAACTGCTTAATAAAAAACCATAAAAACCTCACCCACAAGAACCGTCTTTGAGCTCAAAACACTTGAACCAAGGCAAGTGAGCTTGGAATGTTCTATTTAAATTGCTGATTAATGATTTACAAAGTCTTTTCTTTGTTGTCTTCCAAGTTGCTATGAGGGATGAAATGCTAGACCAGAGCCTTAAACTAAGCTACTCAATACAGAAGAGCACAGTATGTTCTCTGAGGCTGAGAAAACTAGTTCAGACAGATTAAAAACACAAAGGGGAAGCCATTAAAAGAAACAAACAAAAACCAAACAAACAAAAGTGGGGTATTTACATTATTTCCATTATATTACTAATTCAAAAAGATTCATGCCACAATTCATCAAAAACATCCTTATTTTAAATTCTACTTTACAGATAATTTTCAGGTTGCTCTCAAATTCAAATTGTGTAATTAATACTATCAAGTGCTGCTCTAGTAGCATAACTTCTGCATTTCAATTTATCACATTTATAACTAACTTCTGGTTTGCTTTTTCTCCCTAAATATATTGCTAGCATCATACTTACTGATTAGCTAACACACACACCTAAAGAATGAAGCAAAATTACATTAAACTAATAAATACAAAAAGATTACTCTTCAGCGAAAAAAACTGATAAAAGTAATATGCCAAAACAAAACACAACACAACCAGATCTACCCAGAGAATTCTTGGCAACTACAAAACTTCTCCTTAAAATTTGTGGAGTAATTTCTTACATGCAAACCAGGCTGACAAGTTTTTAAAAGCTGCTTTCAATAAACATTTGTAAAGCAGAGATACTTTTTAATATATATTTCTAAAATAAAAAAAAAAACCCAAACCACCAAAAAAACAGAAAGTACAAATTATAATTAGAAGTTTAATTTTCCTTATAACTACTTTTAGACAATTTGAAGAGAAACTTCTCCTTTTTTTTCTTATCCCACAGTAGAATATATAAGTTTTCAAAGCAAGACAGAAGAGTCAATAAAAGCAAGGCAATGGTAATTATTTACAGAATAAACATCTGGGATAAAGCCAACATGGATGAAAAAAACCAGTAAAGATCAGTACAGCAGTTTCCAAATCTGGCAGCAGCTGCACACTTTTTAATTTATTATAAATTACTGCTGAACCTCAAGGAGTTCCACACATTCTAATGGCAAAAACAACAGTATTGTGTTGCAGACTCTACATTTTATTCGTATTACTGTTTCCATCATGTAACCAGGATTTTGTCCAAAAGTCCAGTATGTGGAGATGTTTTTGTTTGGTTTTACCTTACAGTACTTAAATCAACTGCCAGCTTAGGAAACCATACCTGAGCCGTTGACCATCCTACAAACAAGAATTCACTTGCAGATGAAATTCACTTGCAAAATTTTAGCAGAACAGTTCTCTTATCAGAAGGCAGTACTAAAAAGTAGAGTTAAAAACTCAAAAGATAAGAACAATAGAGAAGATGATGATAAGAACTGACTATATCCACAACTGAATGGAGCTGATTAAACAATACACAGCAATTATTAAGAAAACCAAACAAGACAAAGATTTGCAAAGCAAAAGGTGGAGGCCTGGGGAGATGTAGCTGGCAGGTAAGAAACAGAAAAAGGGCAAGGTATTTAGAATATCAAATACAGAGAGAGAAGACTGGCCTCAAGTCCACAAATTTCAATGAGGACTCTGGAACAAGGACTGTTTTGTAAAGAGGACTGATGGTGATCTGTGGATGTGGGACAAGAAACAAAAATTCAGGATATGACAAATTAAAAAAAGCAGAGGAGAGAGCAAAACGGTCAGAATTTGTGCTAGGAGAAAGATAGCAGCAACAATCATAAACCAGAGTTTATTGTCATACAGAGAATAGAACAAAAATGCAATATGTTTTTACATATTGCAGTAAGGATCTCAAATTAGCCAGTAAAAAAGTGTGCCTACTGTACTCCTCTAATGACATTTCTCATGCAGTATGACAGCTGATTTTACAGCTTATTTATTGGAAATAAAGATGACTGCTACTTCAGCAAGAAGTACATTCAAGCATGGAATTTGAAACCCAAGTCCCATTAAAATACATAGGAGAGAATGTCTCTTCTTAAGTTTCTTTTTTCCTCTATAGAAATCAGTTTTCATAAGAAACATTAAAAGATTATAAAATTATATTGCAATATCAAGGAATCAACTTCTGAAAAAGACAACATGAAGACAGACAAAGCAACAGAAATTTTTTGGTTTCCACAAAGTGCACTACATATTCTCTCATTACATAACTAAATAATAACCTTATTTATAGAATTTGTGTTATTAATGTAATTCATTCTATAAGAAAGACTATTCTCTGTAAAAGAAATAGTTCTCTGGTGAAGGTAGGATGGAAACAGAAGCATTTTTTCTGTAATTATATTACTTAAAAGCTACCTTAGCTAACTGAAAAAACCCTGGACAAGCAGAGTCATAACTAATCCATGTTAAAGATTCACTAAAAACAATTGTGACACACAGGCTTACAACAAACTTTTCAGAGGTAATCAGAATGGCAAACTTTTCTTGGAACAAATTTGAAACACTGGCATCTAAAGTATTGAAGTGGTTTGTAAACCTGAAATGAACAAAAAGGTTGTACACCAAAAAGACCTCAACCTCTAATCCTCACAATGGCACTGAAAATTAAAGGATGTGTTTAATCTTCATGTGTTTCAGCTCTCCATCTACAAACAAAAAAAAATATCAGTCTACTTTGCTGGAACATTGCAAGAATTAAGAATTCACAGCATGTGGGGTACAACATAAAAAACTCTATTAGGAAATATAGAGTTTTTTATGTTGTAATTCTGTATTCAAAACTGAATTAGACTAGAGTTCAGCAAATAAAGCTAGAGCCACCCATCGAACATTACGGACAACGGTAAATACTGAATAATTTGCCCCTCAGTGAACACAATCTGCTATGTGCAGTGAATAAAACAGGAATCTTGTCAAGGAAAACTAGCAAGCAATCATTTAAGACTAAAGAACAGCACAAATGAAAATGGAGAGGAATTCAGCTCCTACAAACAATTTTAACTGTTGTGCCTAGTAATGTTTGGTGTGCAACCTTTCTTTAAATGTTTCATACACTGTAATACTTTGGAGACTACTATCTATCATTTGAAAAGAAAAACAGCCTCTTCACCCGTCTACTTCCGGACACTTGCATTTCTTTTGACTGCTTCCCATGATGATTTTTATTAATTAGCTTAAAAAAGGCATATTATTGACAACTCTGATCTTTCTCATTCCATCACAGGCCACTGAACACAAATATACATAAATTCCAAGCTCAATAGTGATAGGACACTTATTAGCAAAGTATTTAACAAACCTTTACATAAATCATAATGACATAACTTCAAACTTGTCAGACTTGGAAACATAGGAATTGATTTGTTTCATTTTACTCATTTAGACAGCATTTCAAAGTAATTTTACGAACTATTCTTCTTACAAGTTTATATTAAGATGACCATCAAAATATTGTGCAGTTTTCCTCGTATATCTAACATCAAATGGTACTTTAACATCGCGCCTGTTGGCAAAATTTAATGCAATAAACCAGAACACACCAAAATGTTTATGATCCAACATTTAGCCCAGGAAGTCTTTAGAAGATTAATACCTGCATCTGTGCTTTCAAGAGCTGTTGTGCTGTAATTTTCTCTTTCAGCTGCATCATTTTTTCAATTCGTTGGTTAACTTGTTGATCTTTCTTAAGTTCATTTTCATAAAATTTAGACCCCTGAAAGAAAAAACCACAAAACCACTACATTTTTCTTTTTGTCCTTATCTTGTCTTTAAGCAAACACATTTGATCTTTAGATACAGAAAACATAGAACACAGAGATGGTTCCTAATGCATGCTTTGGATTTTCATATAAAAATACACTAAAAAGACCACTGGTCCTTTACATCTCTTCAAATGACACATATATTTCTCCTGCACAAAGGAGTTTAAGGAGTTTTTAAATAACTTTGTTTATTTAGCCTAACACTTGACAATAAAAATTTTGAAAGAGTAGATAAAAGTCAAACTATTCTTTGCAACACCTCCAAGGTATGGAGTACCAAACTCTAATAAAATTTATTTTAGCATTTTTTCAGACTTCCAATATTAATCTGTATTTATTATAGCTTAATAAATATGGAAATGTATAATGACATTGTATAAGTCAAATTCACTTGTAATGTTGAGTATTTTGTTGGCCATTTAATCTTGAAGGACACTGCAGAATCAGAAGCTACTTGGAAGAGGATGATGAAAACCAAATGAGTATAAAAAAAGCCCTGTTGCTCTCACATATGTAAATGTTCCTTCAAAAAAAGGCATGAATACAAGGAGACATAATAAAAAGACAATAATAATGTACAGAATGTATAATGTGACTCTCCCTCTTGACTCAGAACAAAGAAAGGAGGGCATATAATGAAGTAGAAAAATTCAAAACTAGGAAATAAAGTATTTTTCTTGCAACATGTCTTAGCTTACAAGTGAAATAATACTTGCAAGAAAAAATCTTTTGTCGATCTACTTGGTAAAATCTGCAAAAATGAACACATCTTTAGGTCAAAGTGTCTGACCACCAAACTGTCACTGATACCAAGAATTATGCCTAGTCAAGTCAGATTCAAGCACTTATATAAAAAGCAAAAAATATCCACTTTCATAATAACTATAAAAAAGATGTTGGCAGAGCTGTAATACGTCATGTTTCATTACAAGAAATATCAAACTAGAAAAAATTAGGGTGTGTTTTGAATGTCAGATATGCCCTTTATCTTTTCTCCCCTATGCCATCAAATATGGCTTGCTGAGACTCACGGAAAGAAATGAGTGCCAAAATGTAGGTGTGGGAAGCAACACAATTCTTGAGATTATTAGTAAGATTTTAATTTTTTTTCCATTTCTTCCATTATTTCACAGTTGAAATGCTATAAACCTTCTTGCAGTCTGTGCAAGTGTACATTACTGCAGGTAGTGTCTGTGGTGTCATTTTAAAGATTATAGAAAAGCTTAAGGAAAAGAATCAATGCTTCTTTTTGGATTTCTTGATGTATATCTGGCAATTATAAACTCTTGCACTTTTTTGACAGAAATATATTCTAGTAGTTAGATGTCTGTATGTCAGTTTTGAAAGCCAATTTTATAGTTCACTCTATTTCATACCAGGAAATAAACCAGTAATTGCTACAACAAAATATTTTATGTAAATATCATTATCTGGGATATGTCTGACAAAGCACTATTTTCCAGAATGAGTGAACACAATATATAGAAGAAACACTTATCAATAATGAGCTAGATAGCATATAAAGTATCATCAATGTGAAACTGCAAGCAGGAAAAGGAAAAAGCTTGCTACATAAGAACTGTTTGCAGCATGTTTTCTCTCTCCTCCTTTCTCCCTCTGTCCCACCACTGCAGATCACTGCAGAGCAATATCAGTCAACACAGAATGCATGAGGAAAACATCAAAGCACATAATCTCAGGCCATGGTGACAACAAAAAAAATACACACTTGTGCAAGGAAAAGTAAGAAAACCCTGAGTTTCTCAGATAAAGTATCATCCCTATATTGTTCTATTGGACCTCTCCAGTAACAACTAGGATGACAAATATTTCAATGGTTTGAAGAGTTGTGAGGGCCTCTGTGGATCTTTAGCATAAAGCTGCATGCTACTGGCCATTTCTCTGGAATACCAAGAAGACAGTCACAAAGACAGGCAGTAAAAATTTGACTATAAAAAGACTTGATTACATCAAATTCATCAGTTACAGGAAGGTGACCAAAAGAAGTAAATCTGCTTGGCTGATTAATGATGGGGTGGACAAAAGGAATGGAAAGCGGGAAAAAAAGAGGAAGATGCAACCTTCACGATTACCTCTGGAAAATGCTGCAGTATTTGTGTACTGCTTTGGACAAAAAGGGAGCACTTAAGCCTATACTCGGTTGTCCTCCCCAATGTCCTTGTGGATGAATTCAACAACACTCTGAAGTATACTAACTATGGCTCCTCTCCTTCCTCCCCACATATAACTTTCTTCTAAGAAGATACTATCCATATACACATGTGAGGGATAAAACTTGGGGAAGGGAGCCTTAAAATACTGGACCACAAATAAAGCATCAGGAAAAAAAGTAATCAAACCAACCTTGGTAGCTTCCATGATGATTTTATTGATCTTCTCCTTATCCAAACCCTCCATTCCAGCTTTGTTATCATTAAGGCCCATTCTAAGTAGAAATCCATCATTGCAAGAGCTGTTAGAAACTTTCTGCGTGTCATCCATTGTATTTCTTGAAAACAAGTACCTGTTTTATGACTTAATATCTGAAAAAAGTAATCAAATATTTATGTTTCAACTGAACAACAACAATAATTAGTCATTAGTTTTATTTATCATAAATATGAAGACTTATATTGCTACGAAGTGGCTGACCTGCCATACAAACCACATCAAACCACCGATAACTCTGTCAGTGTTTGAAGAGAGTAAGACTCTTTTCTCATTAAATTAAAACCATTTTCCTTTAAAACCTCCCCTACAGAAATAAGTGAGCACAAAGTAGCCCCATGTAAAGGCTAGTACCTTTAAATGAAGCAGACTATGTACCTTTATGCGAACGGACATTCACTATACCTTACATATGAACATGACTTTTCTGCCTTACATTATCCTGTCAGATGAAACATTACCATCTTAAACACAAAATACTGCTCACTATTATATTAAAAGAAAAAAAAAAATTGCAATATCTTTAAATTGAAGAAAACCACCACTCATTTGGTCATCATCCCTGCCTGAGTCAACCTGCAGAATCCTTTCCAGTAATTTCTAGCTCAAATTCAGAACTTTGTGTCAAAACTCATATTTTAAAATCAGATGGCTTCAATTAAAAGTTTTGAATAAAACCCTAATGCAGGATAAAATTAATGCACTTTTTTTTTTTTTTTTTTTTTTTTTAATGTGTTGAGCCATGGTATCCAGCTGGTGGAACTTACCAAGTCATCTGTAATTTCTTATACACACAGATACTTCTGGTACGTGACCTTCTGACATCTTCCCCTGTTCTTTACGAAAGTAAATTGCTGAATCCTCAATAGGCTCTTATTATACGGTGAACTGTTTAGTTATTAACTTGATCTCAAAAAAATAAAGAAAGCAAATCTCATCTTCTGTACCATGAACCAGTGGTCTTATTTTAGCCAATTCAAATAGGCAGACTCACAGGTTAGTTTGAGTTGGAAGGGACCTTTTAAAAGTCATCAGGTCAAACCCTCTGCAATGAACAGGGACATCTTCAACTGCATCAGGTTGTTCTGAGCCCTGTCCAACTTGCCATCAGATGTTTCCAGCAATGGGGCATCCACCACTCCTCTGGGCAACCTGTGCCAGTGTCTCACCACCCTCACTGTAAAAACATACCTAATCTATACCAATTCTCCTCAGTAAAACCATTACCCCTTGTAATACTGCAAGAGGCCCTACCAAAAAGTCCAAGTGTGATAATGCCATAAATTATTTAACATGTATTCATTACTGAAAAAGCATACAGAAACCATTTCTTCCTACCTTGAGTCACTGACTCATAAACCACTCATTTTATTGTCATGCAGAATGGACATTCAACTGTCAACTTTACCCTGCTCCCTGTTACAAGAACCCTTACTATTTGGAGAAATGCCATCCTTCTAGGCAAATATACCAGTTTCCTTAATCACAAAATACACAAATGTAAGAGTGTGTCATTTTTCCTTTAAATGCCCCTTTCCCATACCAGAACTTAAGTGGGCCTCATTAGCAACCAAACACAATCAAACACAAGAAAGTCATTATGTGTTTTTGCATTTAGAGGCGAATTTTTGTTACTAAAGAACCACATGAGTCACTTCTAAAAATTAATGATGGCAATGTTCATATTTTCCTGAAGTTCTTCTACTGAAACATACTAGCCAACTGAAGGCAAGATATTAAAGAAACCCATGTTTACAAAAAGTATTCCTTCAAAAACACATGAATTTCAATCATATACTATTAATTCACATTACTATTTATGGTGTCTGCTGAAAAATGCAAGATCAGTTACATAATGCTGTGTTTATATACAGTGTGTTGTATTACAAAGAACATAAGTTGATGTAGAGATCAGAATCTTCTCTTAATCCTTTGGTAGCACTTGAGCTTCTGGGAATGGGAGTGGCTTCATAGCTCTTATGTGTATTTATCAAATAAAAGACTACAATGCTGAACATCTTCACAAATTTTTCAGCTGCAGTAGGACAATCTCTTACAGTTAACATATACATTTATCAGAAGAGATTTGCTAGACTTCAATCAAAGCAAAAAGCACTACATCCCAACCAACATTACAAATTTCATCTCATGCTTATAAGCACCCCTGGATAATTATCTCCCAGTAATTCCATTGTTACTGGCAATCTCTGGTAAGTAATGAGCAACATTTCCAAGGAATACTTTCATCAAAGTAAATATCCCTCCACTATTCTCCCTTCTTTTATCATCATTGCCTTCAAGAAACAACAATGAACACAAGACTGCTTTCATTTCTTAAAATGTTTTCAGCTGTTCCTTATTCCTGAAAGTGTCTTTTCCCCTACCATGTACAAATCTTTCTTCTTCCTCATTCAGAGCACTCTTAAAGGCACAGTTTATAGCAGAGGCTTTAAAAACTAATTTATGTTAGTCAGAAGAAAGTCATCTCTATCTCATTGTTACATATCTAACAATAAAAAAAAATTACCATGATAATCACAGTGACGGAAAAAATAATTTTCATTATAAAGTCTCATAAATGGTGATCACCTGGTGTATTTTATCTTTTGAGCTTATTGTGTGGAACAAAATATATTGCTAGTCTCAGATGAGAAAAGGTATAAATAGCAAATAATACCTTAGCAGAAATTAAGAAGAAAATATGTATCTGAGGACATGACATTTGTTGCCCACCAGAGCTTACAGGTGTACAGACAGGAAAATATGAATAACAGGTGATATGATTTCCAGCTGCTTAGTATGAAGAGAGCCTGAAAATTATCTTGGTTTCAAACTAACAAGTCTGGAAAAAAAATCCATAAAATACTTAACATATTGAAATTAATCACAATAGCTGCCATAAGACAACTGATATAGAACTGTCAGATAAAACCAGCGCTCATTTGCCACAGATGAAAATGAAAATATTTAAATGCAACAGACAAGCAGCAGAGTTTTAAAGTGTGCAAAATGTGAACAGTATGTCAACATAGTAACTGTTTCAATTAGGCTAGAGAACACACTAAACTTGTGGTGACCATTTTTTTGCTAAAAAGATTTGGAAAAAGCGGGTAAGGGACTAGAATCTAATGAAACAGTCTACACAGAGTGACATGCTTTTGGCATACTGTTACCTCAAGAAGCTGTTGCGTGACAAAGCTGTTTTCTCTACTACAAAACATGACATCTCCCTCAGTATCATACTAAGCAAGTAGGACGTGAAACCAGAGAAATCTATGACGGTAGTCTACACTAATAAACTACCCTATTATTCCTGTGATTGGGGAATGAGGGGAAGCAGGAAAATCATATGTTAGTGGAAGGAGATAACTTTCCAATTGCTAGGGAAGGACTTCTAAAGGTAAAGACTTTGGCAATGAATGTCAACAGTTAATGTAAAGGAAACCACCAAACAAGCAAAAACATTGAGAAGAAACACAAAATCCCATTACTGTGTAGAAAGTTTCATGAGTAAGCTGGCATGCCTACAAGTGGGAAAAGATCACTAATTACCTGTAATCAAGCTCTTCTAGAATCAAGCACAGAATCTAAACTAAACTAGCAAGACAGGGTTATATAATATTTGAAAGTGTCAAGAGATTGAAGCAGCAATAAAATTAGAGCAACAATTTAATTTCAAGTGCCTCTACCTTCATTCAAATTTAGCATTTTTTTAACAGTTGACTGAACCAACCTAAAGGAAATGGCTTGTATTTGATCCTGTGCAACTCTTCCAGCTTGTCTTCATTAAAAATCCTCCAATTCCAGCAACTTAAACTCTGCACACAGTATGAAAAGTTAAATGCCTTCATATTACAGTTTCCATGTAATAAAATAATGCAAAATATACAGTATTTGTATATAAGAATATTCAGTTCAGTAGGTGTAGTGCTATTATGTACATTATTAACATTTGCAAAGTTTGTTAATAGTTCATCTTTTGTTGACCATGTTAACAACATGGGAAGAACTATTAACACTGGAAAATGACACCAGTATGGAAAAGCTTGAAAAATAATTTATTTGCATACTGAGTTATAGTTTAATGCAAGTAAGTTGTGTACTTGTCCTCATAATTAAAACAAATTCTGATATCTTTGCTATCACATATTCTCATGACAACGTGAACTGTAAAGAAGTTACTAAGAGACACAATTGTCTACTGAGCCCAGAGCTCAAAAACTCAGCAAAGGAAGCCAAACATAAAATACAGACAAAAAAGATTGTCTTTTACACCCTAATTATCCTAAGTAAGTCTCCATGGTATGCAAGAAGAATTGAAATAAATGTTGCAAACAGCAACACAAATATTAGAGACTATTATTATCCTCAGGATGTCTAAAACAAGCATCTAAATTAAATATTTTCCTTAATTTCTGTAAAACTCATAAAAGCCACCAATAATATTGCATCAAAATCTGATACATCATTTACTGTAGCAAGGGCCCAAATTAAACTTCCTATTTTCTCTCAATTAAAATATTTCAGATATTCATTTATTTAAAGGCATGTTCAAGGAAGCATATCACACTGTCCTTCTAACTATCTGCTCAACTCCTCAGGGTGTTTGATTTTTACTTGAGGCTTGGCTTCTGAATAGCCCTGAGAGGACTCCTATCAGTTTTAATCCTGTAGCGATTTACAAGAAAAGAACTGGCAGAAGGAACTGCACAACAGTGTTGTCAGCATTTAATACATATACATTTAACATACATGGTGTTAACCACATAGATTCCTAGCTAGTCTGTTCAAAACTACTGTTTCACTACTGTCTCTCTCTCAAACTACAACACAAACAAGTTCCTTAGAAAAAAGAATCTTTCAATAAAGATGTAATATCTTTACAAATGTAATAAGCCAGAGCACATGATAAATTAATATTGAACAGAAAACTGGGCCAGAATTCATGAAAGTGAGGATTCCAAGTGCTCAAGCTGACACATATGAAATGAGAGTACTTTTAAAGTAGCAGATGACTCAGCATTTTACAATAATGTAGATCCCATACAAGCACCTGGAGTCAGCCCTGAAAAAACAAGATCCTAGAATTGTCTTCTGTATACTCACCAACTTTAAGATGTAACAAATTACAGGGAAATCCATCTTTTAAAACATTAAATAATTCACACTTAAAGTAAACAGTGAATAGAGACTGCTTCTGATAATGTTCAAAAATGTCAAAATATTTTATGCCATTCACCAAACTGTCTGATTAATTTTTTCCTTATGTGACACAAGTAAAACAAGTGCAACACTCACCCCTATCAATTTTCTGTAGGCAAGATGCAAAGCAATTCTGTTCTAAATTCTGCTTTCAATTTCTCTATCAAAAAATACTCATGTCTTTAGAACATATAAGTTTATTTGAAGGGTAAAGAACCATGGTATCTTCTTCTGCCTCTATTCAGTATCTTAAAGGACCTTTTCAACTCAAAGCTTTATCTCAAGTCTTTCACTAAGTTTTCCTTATGCTTCTAGATACTGTAAACAAAGGCTTTAGTAGTTCAATCCATAAAGAAAATAATGAAGGAACTGAACACTCATCACTAAAAACTACACTAGAGATAGCATTATCTCCAACTGGGCTTCTACAGACATATTTAGTGCCAACGGATTCATATATGGTTGTTTTGGGTTTTTTTGCTTAGAAATAAAAGCCTAACACAGTGATTCAGAGAGCAAAACTGTTTTAGAATAAAGTGTCTGAATCATTAATATTTCTGAGCCTACGCTATTAAGCAATATGCTGTGGCATAACAAAGCTCCTTTAAGGATCCTCCTAAGAAAAATAGTCTTAAATTTCAGAACAAACATAATGGGAAGCATGAGCACACTAGAAAGTGATGGAGATTCTCTTTTAAAAACATTAAATGAACACCCTAAAATAGAAGGTATGGGAGTGGAAAAAAGATACATAAAAAGGGAGTAGAAAAAAATAAAAGTATTTATAAAGTTACCCACTTGACAGTGCTTATTATGACTGACATTCCAAGCAGCAAAACTCAACACTCCCAATGTTTGTACTACAAGTAGTATACACAACAGTAGTACAGAACACTATCTGATCCGCTGTTCTAAAAATGTAATGACTATTTCCACTTAAAAAAGTAATTTGCAAACTTCTTGCAATCCCTACGACTCTAGAAGGGGTACAGACTGAGTACAGAGACACTTGCTATGAAAAAACAAACACAGCAATAAATCACAAAATAAAGGTTCAGTAGAAAAGGTATAGAAGGAGCTAAAAAGCAGCAAGTGCATCTGGAAACCAGTATGATTTTCTATATTTCCTAGGCTTTGGTTTGCATCCCAGATTGGTCTTGGCACAGGCAAACCTGATTCTCTTCAAACAATACGTAACTGAAAGACTGCTCTTCCAGAGCATACCTGCTAAACCACAATTGTTAATGTAGTGCCCTCCAAGGGATCAAACAACTGTAGTCTGAAAAAAACACCTCTCAAAATGTAAGAAAAACTTCAAGTCCTCAGCACGAAACCTTTTCTTTACAAATCTACTCCCTCTGCACCCCACGGTTGCTGAAAAGGATATGGCCTTATCTCATTAAGAGTGACAGACAGTACGTTATGCTTCTAAAAAATGGTCAGAACATTGGAAAGGGTAATTTACATAAGGCATTCACAGTTGCAGTACAGCTTTTGGAAGAACACAAGCTGGTGACACTGTGTTGAAAAACAAGATCCATTGGGAGCATGTGGCAGATATAAACAAAAATCTAATACCTAGCACAGCCAATGCATTATATGAAAAGTTGAAAATGCAAACCTTTAAGCATGTATTTTTTCACTAAAAGTTCGTAAAATGCTAGCCACAAAAACAAAATACTCTCTCTAAAAAGGATGGGTATGTTTGTTGAACAATCTGTAAAAATATCTACCCAATGCATTCTTAGTATTGATTGACTCAATGTTCTGGAGGGGGAAAAGAAAAAGCAAGCTTCCTCTGTAACTAAGTGAATAGTTCCAGATCAAAAGCATGACAAGAAATGTCTGTGTACATGCTACTGCCACTGCTAAAAGGACTTGCTCAGACATGTCTCTTCAGCTCCTGCTCCTGAAAAGAAGTTAATTCAGAATTTAACTGGGAAAACACAACTGGCTTTACAAGTAATGTCAACTAACTTCAACAACATATTGCAGAGAAGAAGTAGAAATTAGTCTCATACATATCGATACTTACAAAGCCTGCTTGACAAATACAATACATCGAAACAGACACTAAGGAGAAAAACTATGCACTTGGTTTCTTTCCAAACACATAGTGAATGGTTTTTGGCAAATTGTCTGAAGTAGCACCCACAGTAGACTTCTGTAAGTTTTTTCCTGTACATTGCAGTGATCACACAAGTATTAAGATGTCTATGACTATTTTTTTTATTTCTAATAATTTAGGACCATGATGCTGCCTTTTGAATTATCCTCAGTTCTGCATTCATGGTAAGTATCTTTATATCTGAGGTATAGCAGGCATGAATATTATTTAACTTTTAACCACTATATATAGAGAGTGCATATAAGTAGATGTGTCAATGCTCTTTCAAAAAAAATAATAAACCCTCAATGGAAACTTTAGAACAGCCTAACAGTGGAAAATTTATCACAATGATTTATAGTAAGGAAAAAGTCAGAGAAAATAGAATTGTGCAGCATTGCTCTAGCAATAATAACAGAAGTGTATCTTCCCGACCCGAAATTTCCTCAACCAACATTCTTTAAGACACTTTTCCCCAGCCCAAGAAATCAAGAGAAAGGAGATGAGTTAGTACAAACCTTAAGTCTTTCCCAAACCACTATATTCGCCGTTCACAAACCGTGAAGTGACAGGTACAGGGTGGGGTTTTTCCCCCATCCTACAAACATATCTCCACCCATAAATATCGACAAAAGCACGTATTTCAGACTAAGTCCGAGGAACGAAAAAATAAAATCTCACCGTTTCTTTCCCTAAACTACGAAAGCGGTTTAATGAACGGCAGGCAGGGCACGCGCGGCAGCCGAGCCGGAACGCTGACGCACCACTGCGCCTGCCCTGCCCTGCCCTGCCCGCCTTCGCGCGCCTCCGAACGCCTCGCCCTCCCCTCTCGTTTCACCCAGAGCCGGCACCGTCTCCCGCCCCTTCCCGCCGCCTCCACCATATTTGATTAGGGAAAAATTTGGCGCTCAACCCCCTCAACTGTCCTCCGAGTCCCGCCGGTTTGAGGCGAGGAAGAGAGGCTACATCTCCTTGCCCTTGAAAGCAAGCAGAGTCGGACAGACGCTTCGCCTCGCTAAAGATAAAGGGAATACCTCTGCACAAAAGACAAAGCAAACATCGCCCTGGGTAGCACCGTCGCCCTTGGTAGCGGAGGGCCCCTCCCCCAGCGGCAGAGAGGCGATACCCGCCGGCGCCGCCACAGGAACGACGAAACCAAGATGGCGGCCGCGCTCCGTCGGAGTGAGACTACATCTCCCAGCACGTCCTGCGGCACGAGCAAGGGGCAGTGGCGCCCAGATTCACGACCGCTCGGAGTAGGACTACAACTCCCGCGGGGCGCCGCGGCGGGGCGGGGTGCTTGTCGATGGCGGCATTGAGCGCCCGCCTCACCTAAGATGGCGGCGGCGGGAGCGCGCTGAGCGGGTGCCCGGCAGGCGGACGCGCGCTCGCCCCTCCTCCCCTCGCTGTCCCGGTGTTGTGGCTCTGGCCGCGGGCGGGGTCTGAGGGGCCGCGGCGCGGGATCCCGGGGCTGTGAGCCTGGTTGCCGGCCGGTCGCTGGCAGGGGCGAGCGGCGCTCGGCGGCGGCATCCGCTCGAGTAGAGCCCAGCACTCCGGTCCCTTCGGCAGAAGAAGGCTGCTGTGGGCGGGGGCAGCTCCGGCTCTTTCCCAGCTCGGCGGTGGCTGCGGCTCCGGTCTCCATGTCGGACAACCAGAGCTGGAATTCCTCCGGCTCCGAGGAGGACCCCGAGACCGAACTCGGGCTGCCTGTTGAGCTCTGCGGGGTGCTCAGCAAGGTAAGCCGCCTCTACCCCATTCCTGCGCCCTGCCGCCACCCATCTTCCTCGCTGTCAGGCCCGACCGCCCCGGGGGCTCGGGCCGAGGGGCCCGGTGGCGGGGGGGAGGCGGGCGGTTCCGCGGGCGGCGCTGGCACGGCCGGGGCACCGCCACCTGACGGCGGAGCCGCTGCCAGGCAGAGCCGCGGTGGCGCCGGGCGCCCCCTCCCTCAGCCCCGCCGCCCCCTGCGGCCGGGGGAAGCCTTTCTTCGAGCAGAGTCGCTGTCCCCGCCGCCCGCGGAGCCAGCCGGCCGCACGGTGCGGGGCTCCGGCGGCCGCGCAGGGAGGGCGTCTCCCCCGCGCCTCGGGCTCCGGCCGGAGCGGCGCCGGGCCTGGGTGTCGCGGCTACCCGGGAGCTCCCGGAGGCGCCCGCAACCAGTCGTGTGTCCTCGGGAGCAGGCACGGCTTTGAGTGCAAGTATCCAAACAGGGCATTGAAAGACTCCTGCGGCAAGAGATAGCGGGAGGAGACGAAAAGGAAAATGGTTATACGGCTTATTTCCCCTTTTAAAAATAACCATAGTTATTTTCTCTTTTATCGCTGAAGATAAGGTGGCTTCCGAGCATGTGTAGGTTTATACTGGAAAATTTTATTTTCAGCAGTACTTCAGAGTAGAATATTGAATTACTTAGTTTTCATATGGATATTTTTTTTTTATTACAGAAAGTGTATTCAGAATAACATTGAAATATCTGTAAGATTAAAGTACTATGTTTTGTATTTTTTTTCTTGTCCTACGCAATAAGGCTAGGCACAAGCCAACGTAGGAGGCACGGGATACGGAGATCTTGCACTGCCCTGAATGCGTAGAAAACAGCCATAACTGAGCTCACATTGTTGTGAGGAACTTTGTGAACTCCTTCCAGGCTGGAAATGTTTCTAACCCCAGAGATAAGAGGAATGGTTAGGAGAAGAGAATGATCTCTGCTCTCATCTGTAAGATCTTATCTAATAGTGGATAGGGGAAGGAGGGGATGAGATGAATGTGAGATAGTGTTAGAGCAGTTACAATAAGAGATTTTTGTTTGGTGTACTTTTGCTGTTTTGTTTGTGTTTTTTTCACAGCAAAGTTTTCCTTGGGTAAGATGCTTCCGTCCTTAGAAGGGAAGTAATTTGTGGGATGTAATTAATTTTTATGTTAGCAAGTGAAATACAAAGTCCAGGTGTTCTTTCTCAGTGGTGTAGCAGGTGAAGGCATAGCTTCAGACATTCTAGCTGAGGTATGTGCAAACTTTTTACTTTTCTGGATGATAATGCTGAGTGCAGCAGAGAGTGTCTTTCCCATGAGAACCCAGAATTTAATCTGAATAGTCAAGTATGACGAAACCGTCTCAGTGAATATGTTTGAGGGGTAAGGTTACCTTTTGTTAGTTGATACCTCAGTAATTATTAAGGTAAACTAATTAAAATGGAATGGTAGCATACTGAACTTTCTAATAAGGAAATACCTATTTTTAATATCTTACTGTGTATAATTAAGTTCTAAAATCATAGAAGTAGCCTGCAGTTCTCTGTGTGAGTAGTAGTTTTAGTAGTTCTTGCCTTCAGTATAGAGAAAAGCTGCGAAAGTAATGGAGGAATTTGGTAAGAGAAACTTTTTAGAAGTATATCCTGCTGCTCTTTTGAAATGTTTTGAAACTCTAGGCTTTTTTTCCATTGTATTTCCTGCTAATGGTTTTAAGGTGGAGGAAAGAACTTCAGTGGAAGAGGCTTTCAGGAAGCATGAGACTCTAGATGCTTGGAAAAACACTGATCTTTTCTCTGCCAAAACCTCATGCCTGCCCAAGTATACTTTAAGGATGGCACATTTGGATTGTAACAACAAGCTTTGATTGCAACAGCAGATGCAAGATTCACTGCTGTATATGTTTCTGTTAACTTTTTCGGAGAAGGAAAGATCGTTGTCTTTGCTTTTTTTTCACCCCAAAATAACTTTGGACTCTGCCTTGCATATCCTGGGAGGAGTTGGGAACACGAGAGATAGGAAAAGAGGAAGGCAGGAAATAATACACCTCTGAATGCTTGTGCTACCACTTCATGCACTAAGCACACTTGAGGCTTTCTTTAAGTAATGCTGTATTTAACAATTAGGTGTAAGAGATGAAAAAGGGCTTTTTATTTTAACAGCAAATCAAGGTCTTGCCTACATTTGAAAATTGTTAAGAATTTCTTAGCTATAATTTTTTTCTTTAGACATCATCTTATTACTAAAGTTAACATATAATTATGGAGTATGTGTTAAATAATGTATGTAGTATGAAGTGGAACGATACTGAGAGTTGACTCTTCCCCCTCATTTTTTTTGATTACAAAATAATGAATGATGGATAGACTTAAATGTTAACCAGAGTTTTTAATCAAAAAACATTTGTCAAAATCAAAGAAATGCTTGCATGATAAGATTGGTTTCAGTGCTTTTGTTTCTGTTTTTATCAAACGTATGACATTTGCACCATGATTGATTAATAAGGATCAGTGTGTTGTCAGAATTACGGGATAGTCCTGATTTTCTATCAGTGCCAGATGATTCTATGAAGTTCATATGATTCTACAAAGTGCAGTCAGAAAAAATGTTGCAAATGTAAGAATAATAATCAGAACTTCTGGTCACTTCTTACTAGATATCTCTAGAATTAATCCAGAATTTGTTCCCAGAATATTGGTTTTATTCAATATGTGAATGTGGAGTCCCTAGAAAAATCTGAATAGCAAAAACCTGATTGGCTGTCTGCTGATAACCAAAGCGGTATGTATAGGCAATATTAAATTAATAAAACACTGAGTCCCCTAGGCACTACAATAGTTATTTACTGTGCTGTGGGATAATGGCATGTTTGTATTTTTATGAGGATAACTTTATATAGTATTTTATATAAAATAAATTATGCAGTGTTCCACTTAAGTCTTTTGGCCCAGCTCCAGCTTTTAAATCAGGTGCCTAAACTCACCTTAGTCATTAATGTTTGATTTTTTTGTCCCCCCTCCCCTTTTTTCCTCAATTTGTGTCAGTATGTTTATTGCCTTGATTGTGACTGGCCTTGGCAGTTCAGTTGGAGTCCAGGTATCTGTTGTCTTATTGACCCTTCAAAACCACTGCTTTTTGGTTGCTTTGGGAGTTTGTAAAATTATTCTAGGATCTCTGAGGAGAAAAAAGTTCTCATTTAGAAAGAACTTGTAAAAATAAGTTACCTTTTTCTTCAGGTGCTCAAAAGCCTAGAAGATATCCATCATTCTTTTAATGTTGTCTTTCTGTTGGCTGATCTCTTGAAAATTTTTTTACAGTGGACCAACTACATTCATGGGTGGCAGGATCGATGGGTAGTTCTGAAAAGCAACACACTCAGTTATTACAAGTCTGAAGATGAAACAGAGTATGGCTGCAGAGGCTCTATCTGTCTGAGCAAGGCTGAGATTACAGTAAGTACAATTTTATTGTTGACATCATTCATGTTTTGAGGTGCTATATATTTGTGTCTGGTGAAAGCAAACACAGATATGGCAAATTCTTAAAGGTCATCTGCTTATGACATTGGTGTCAGCGGAACACTGTGGAGCAGGGCAAGGAATTCCTAATGCTAAAACAAACTCTTTTAATTTGTGGCTTCGGCAAGCAACTTTTCATTTCTTACATTAGAGGGTTTTGTGGGTGGATAGACTGTCTGCCTCTGAAGGGTGCAAAGATTTCTCTGTGGGTCAATTGAAGACCCCAGACGAACTTCCCAGAGGAGGTACCATCCTTCACAGTCTTTGCTCTAGAAAGAGGGTAGTGGTTCTTTGTGGTTGTTGACTTTCTGAACACAGCTCTTTAGGTTTCCAACAGAAAATGTTCTTCTCTGTGCTTCTTTCTCTGAACAAGTTGGTGTGTTGCTGTTTTTGTCAAATGCTAAAAGGTTTGGAATAGACTGGTAAGAATAAAGAGCCTATATATAAATGAGCATAAAGTGTTATGACGAGTGGCTGAGGGGGCTGGGGTTGCTTAGGCTGCAGAAGAGGAGGCTGTGGGGGGACCTTATGGCCCTCTTAAACTATCTGAAAGGAGGTTGTAGCAAGTTGTATTTCAGTCTCTTCTTCCAGGTAGGAAGTGGATGGATGAGAGTAAATCCCCTCAGGCTGTCTAAGGGGAGGTTTAGATTACACAGTAAAAATACTTCACAGATGGGCTGTAAAACGTTGAAACAGGATGCTCAGGGTAGCAGTGGAGTTACCATCCCTGCAAGTGTCAGAAAAAGTGTGGATGTGGCACTTGATGGCATGGTTTAATGGTGAATGTGGTGGTGTTGGGTTGGTGGTTGTACTTGATAACCTTATAGTTTTTCTGCAGCCTTTATGACTCCGTTAAAAATTTTAAAAGATTAATTTGTCTTAGAAGATAAAAAAATCTGCTTTTTTGGCTTTCAGAATTACAATACACATTATGACTATGGTTGTCAAGAAACATGCTGTAGTCTTTCTGCAATATCATTAAATAGTCTGTCCAGTTATGTGATTTAGAGTAAAAATAGCCAGACTTTCACATAGCACACAAATTCCTAAAGTAGCAGTGTTAAATCTTAGCATGTATGTTCTTATTCCACCAAATACGTGGAATTTTTCAAGTTGAATTAAGGATGACAAACAAGAAGTATTCTTCCTTACTGATAATCAGCTTACAAAGAGAATTTTATTTAACGCCTCTTGGTTTAAAAAAAAAAGACTGGATTGATTACATTAACTGGATGTATTTTGGAGAAAAGCTTGTGAAGAAAAGGAGATTTTTACATTTAGATGTCTGGCAAGTATTGTAGTCATCTAAAAATTTAAACAGATCATATAATGTGTTTTATTTTTTTGAACTGTTTGCGCTTCTAGAACTTCCTCAACATGTGGCTTAATCAGGATTTGATTGTACATGACAGTCTCTAGGAGTTCTCACTGAGGTGTATCTATGGCAGTCTGAGCCTATGATTCGAACTTCCAAAAATCTCTCAAGAGGCAAGAGCTTAGCATACCAACCAGGCAGAGACAGGAAGGTGCTGGCAAGGATGTAGCCAAAGGGCATTTGCACGTATTCTGTACAGCACATCTCAGCAGCTTGAATTCCAGCTGTGGTGGTGGAGTGAGAGGTTACAGGGATACTACCTGGAATGTTTTGGTAAATTGCAGTTTACAAAGGGAAGCTGGCAAGCATGTCTTCAGACTAGGATGTATGAAACCCTGGAACTTCTTACAGGTACCTTTTTTCTTTTTCTCTCTGGCACTTGTTAGACATGGTAACTTGGAGTTGAATTGATGCATCTATTTTTTAAGTTCTTGAACTTCTTGAATACATGGAGAAAGAGTTAAAAGCTTCCACAGTTTTAAAGGTTAATCGAATATTTTAGTTCCATTTTTGTTGAGGCTCGTGCTTTGTGAATGGTATTTGACAGTTCAGTTGGTAGATGGTATTCCTGAAAGCTAGTAGGTTCCAGTTAATTATATCTAGCTGCAATTAAAGTTATTGTTGTGGAAATTTTAGAAGTTGAGGAATACTATTGGATCATTTCATGTCTCTAGGATATAGAAATATACATTTGAAACTGTCTTGTAATTATTCTCTCTTTGTTTTTCAGAGGTTGTGCTTTAATGACAGAGTTTTAGCATTGATGCTTCTGTTGCTTTTGCAACATTTACAGTTGTTTGGTAGCAAATTGAATATTGTGTTTTATATTCAAGTTAAAACTTAAGTTTTCAATTGAAAATTTATTATGCTCAAAGATAAATGTTTAAGATATTCTTCCTGAGGCCCATAGTTGATCTTTACTTTTGTATCCTCATAGTGTCTTCAGAAACTATAACTATCCAGCATGTATTTAAATGCATAGGAAAACACCAATAGCTGATAAAATAAGTGTTGAAATGATAATGCGTGGAAACTATCTTTGCTCTCAGTGGAACTTATTATTTACTGAATGATTGGTAATTAATTCGGTAATGAGGGGATGTCAAGTTTCTTATTGGCTGAATTCAATTGCACTGATTTGATGTAGTTGAAATCTTAATCTTTAACATTTTTCAACAATCTTTCACTATACTCCTAAGTTCAGTTTCCCTTGATCTTGCTGATCCAGATTCACTTTTATCTTAACCTGTTGCATTTCAGTTTTTAACTATAATGTTCCCTTGTAGGAAAGGGTAGCTGGATTTTCATAAAGCTTTTAGGCACTTGGATTAGGTATGCATGTTTGAATCTGATGGGGAATGTAATGATTTTTTGTGCATAGTTAACTCTACTGTTACTATAGAATTATGACATTTTGTTAATATATAAGCATAAATTTGGAAGTTTGCTGTCACTGAGTAGTATTACTATACTTTCAGCAATGAAGGTGAGTCTAATTATAAGTTGTAGTATTAACTGAGACATGAATACTGTATGCAGAAAACCACTGTTGCTTCTGCTCTTGTTGTATTATTTGTATTTTACTGGCTAGAGATTGATAGATAATTTTACAGGAATATTTTGTAAGACACTCGCCTCTTCCCTTATTTGATGACAGAATACTAGTTAAATTTGTGCTTATTAGCATAGCTTTTTTGTGTTTCAAGTGCAGAATTACTCTCATACGTCCAAAAAAGGTATGGCCATGTGACAGTAACCTTTCATTGAATGAAAAATATGGGATCTGGTTAGACTACTGGGACTGAAAAGAGCTGATTTCTCTGGAATAGATGAACAAAGGATGAATATTTATTGTATTCTCACTGGATTACATCAAGTAATGAACTGGCCATATGAATTAAGTTTGGGGAAGGATGATGAAAGTCAGTGTATCAGGCTAGGTGGCTTGCTTTTATCCACATAAGACAAGACACCTCAGAGGTGTTTAGTTGATCTATAACAGGCTGGAGGCTGAAACTGAAGATGAAAGTTCTGCTGTATGGTCAGTGGATGAGATGAAATTATGCATATTATAAAAAGTTCATATATGGACAAACTTAAGCTTTGTTGTTATTAATCTAGGCTGTGCTAAATTACTGCTGTTGATGGTAGTCAGTGCCAGTTGGTCTTTATTAAGAATACTCTTCTTTATTTTAAAGTTTTGTTGTTCATTCATTCTTGAAGTCAGACTTCCAGTGGGGAATTCTGTGTACGAGGTTAAGAATGGATGTTCTTGGCAGTCGTGTAAATGTGGATCCCTGGGGCATGGTTTTGGAGTTGGAAAGTCTAGGGTCTGTTATTAAAAGAACAAAAAGAAAATGCCCTGTAGATTTGGAAGTCCAACTTTCAGGCAACCCAGTCCATAAGGTTGTGCTGTCTTTGCTTTGATTGCTGTGTCTGTTCTTACAGTGCCATCACCACTGTTGTACAGAGTGACTTGCACTAATTCATGTAGTCACAGCATGATAAATCAAGAATAAAATTGTATGCTCTGCTCCCACTTCAGGCAGTCTAAGAGGAAGGCCAACATTAATTTGATCATGGTAGGAATTTATATTAATAGATTCTCAAATCTCTTTATAGAATTCTTAATAACAAAGTGTTTATCTGATGAATTTTAGGGGGTTTTGTCTGGTCATAGTGGCTTTTCTGCATGGATGTATATGGAGGATATTAAAAAATGTGTAGAGAAATGTAATGCTTGGTAAAATTTTAAGTGCTTAAACTCAGCTGTGTGTGAATTTTGTATTTTTTGTCCCTAGAGGTGGCTATCTACACAGGAAGAGTTCCAGAAACTTATGTTCCAGTTTAAAACTTCAGCTTTTCTACTGATGGAATCTATATTTGCCATGTAGCTTTAATCCAGTGATTGATATTAATTTTCTTTCCTGTGTATCTTATTTATGTAGAAAAACCTTTTGGTTTTAGTTGCTTAAACCAGATGCAATAACTGTGATGCAATGGTTTTCCTTGGCTTTGGTTATGCTGCAATGATGTATATACATATCAAAACCTTTATGGAAACTTGCTGTTGATTTGTAGTTTGGGGTTTTTGAAGAATTTTGTTTTTTAATTGTGTTGTAAAGAGACCATTAGACAGCTCTGTGGAAATGCCTGAACTAGGACTGCACAATAAATTCAGTTTGAATAGTGGATATATTTTCAAGTAAACACGTTTGTTGGGGCTTTTTTCTTCCAGAAGCAGCAACTGGAAAGCACAGTTGCTTAATGAAGGCAGTAATAACATTTTATATTAATATAAAATTGCAAGCCAGCCATTTAACTTTAGAATGAACTTCTAAAAGGTGTGGGAGTTGAGTATCTATTATGAATATCTGGAGCTCAGGAAAAGCAAGAAGATAGAAAATGGAAGTCTGTTTGAGGGACAGCTTAGTGAATTGTCTTAGCTTTTTTTTCCTTTAAGTAGTAGTAAATTGTTGTTGTAAAGAACTTCATAAATATTCATTTTATAAATTAGAACAGATGTAAACATGTGTTACTTTCAGTTTACAAAATGAAC